TGTGTTCTATACCAATGTACTTCATTTTCCTTAGCTGTTGGGCTTTATAATTATCACTCTAGTTCATTTCCCTAGGACTTGCATCTTCTATTTTGCTCAAAATGTCATGTTAGTAACAAACTGTATTTGTGCCCTTAAAAAGTATGTTTTAAAAATTTTTTTTTTTTTTTTTTCAGGCAGGGCCCAGGCCTCTTGCCCAGGCTGGAGTGCAGTGGTGTGATCACAGCTCACTGAAGCCTCAAGCTTCTGGGCTCAAGCGATCGTCCCACCTCAGCCTCCTGGATAGCTGGACTACAGGCAGGCACCACCATGCCTGGCCAATTGTTTTATTTTTAGTAAAGATGGGGGTCTCTCTATGTTGCCTAGGTTGTGGTTATAGTATTAAAAGTAAAAACGATTTTTTAAAAGTAAAAACCTATCCCCAAGTCCCTAGTCCTATAGCAAGTAAAATTCTATGTATCTCTATATATTTTGGAAAAATTGTCTGTTGTAAGTTTAAAAGAAAACTTTAGGATTTTTAAAAATCATAATCAATGGTAAATTTCTTGGAATAGTTTACATATGTAGTAGACCATTCTCTGTTTAAACACATTATCAACTTATTGTTGCTGTGGGAAGCTCCTCATTTCACCTTATAAAACTAAATAGTAAGTGCCAACCATATGTCAGTAAGGGATAATCAAGTGTGTTATAAACCCCTTTCCTTTGAGAAAGTCATTTTGATTTTCAGTAGAGCACATACATTTGTAGTGTGTATGTTTTTGCACCTCGGGTATAAATGTAGTCATCATGTATTTATTGAGAATCTACTATACGAAATTATGTGCGTATGGCATAGAGGAGCTCATTTTCTATGTGTAGAGATGGTTGGGACACAGTTTTCCTGAAGACTAAGCAATGTAGATGCCAACTGAATGCTCTAAAACTGTGGTAAAAAATGGAAGTATCATTTCTAATACAAAAACGGTCTGGGAAAGTCACTTTAATGGTTTGTAGAATGTTTCACAGGCAATTTAGAGATCAGCTGAAACTGAGTGCTAGAGAAGTGGTATGCCCAAGGCCACATTAAGAACTACTTCGACACAAAAACGGACAAGACTACAGAACTCCTAAGTGTCAGGCCGTTGTTCTTTCCACTCACCACAAAGATACAGCATTTGAACTGACCCTTGAATAGGCAAAGATGGGCAAAAGAGGGAACAATTACTCCAGGCCATTGAGTGGCTTCAGAAATCATAGTAGGTAGTTGAGAACTGCTACTGAGAATAATATACAAGTAAATAATGACATGTGTTCTTGCTTTTCCCTATAATATAGGGTTGTATGGGGAAGAAATGTGAGAGAAGACTTTTAAAAACCTAGGTTAGAGGCCAGGCACAGAGGCTCCCACCTGTAAAGCCCAGCACTTTGGGAGGCTGAGGGAGGAGGATCACTTGACCATAGGGTTCGACACTAGCCTGGGCAAGATGGAGAAACCCTGTCTCTACAAAAAAAATACAGAAAGTTAACCGGGCATAGTTGTGTGCACCTGCAGTCCCAGCTATTCGGGATGCTGAGGTGGGAAGATCACTTGAGCCCAGGAAGTCCAGGCTGCAGTGAGCCATGATCGTGCCACTGCACTCCAGCCTGGGTGACAGAGCGAGACCCTGTCTCAAAAAACAAAAACAAAAAAACCTAGGTTAGAATCAGGTACAGAGTATTGTGAATGCCATGCTAAATATTGTAGATTTTATTCAATAGAAAAACAAGGCTCCGTTAAGGTGTTACTAAAGATTTTATTGATTACCAGTTTTAGTTTTATTTCCAGATAGTGTCATTACATATTTCCAGACTAATTTTTTAAAGATCCATTTACAGTCAATTTTGTCTTCCATCCCTCTAGGCATGCGTTGTATAAACATACTTTTAAAATATATATACAGGGAAAGTCTTTCCTATAAATCCATCCATCTGGTATCTGATAAGCTCAGTAGATCCAAATTGTAGAGAGCTTGATAATAAGAGATAAACCCTACCAGATGAAAATAACTCCCCTGAAGCTCATCTGAGGAAGATATTGGAAGCTACTTTTTCTTAGGTACCAAACATATTTGAGTTAATTTTATTGTTAGAATTTGATTATCTGTTTTTCCTTAGCTGAGTTTTGGGAGTCCCTGAGTCCCTATAGTTTTGTTCTAGGTCAAAAGGAAGAACAGAAGGTCTAAACAGAGGATAGTTAATGGCGAGGAAGTGTAGATGGCGGAGCCAGTTGGTGGGTATAGAAGTAGACCCACTAACAGGGATGAAAAAGCTTCGGTGAATAAAGGGAGACAAACATAGATGGCCATAAAAGAAAGAGAATAAAATTAAACCAAAAGAGCATAACAATTTAGAGTATTGTAAAGTGATCCTGAAAATATAATGCTTTAACATTACAGTACAGTATGGTAGTAATTGTTCACAGCAAAGACCCTGTGTCATATAGACAGGTTCAATTGTGTCTTAAATTTGGAATGCAGAAAAAACATGAGAATTATCTTAGAAACTATCTTGTGTAAAACTTAACCAACTTCAAATATGAAATTAAAATGTCTGTCACCTAGAAATCCTAGAATTCCTCTTTTTCTAATTAAACTAGAAATAAGGAATAATTATATTTGCATATATTATCTATTCTGTTACTTTAGAGTGTTCTAAGCCCCAAATGCTGAGCAGCTTATTTATATTGAACTCATCTCAATGAGGCTTCCATGTGTGTATTTTGTAAGAAAGATTTTAATGCTGCCCTACCTCTCCAGACTGTCTCCTGGCTTCTGAAGCTGTTTGTTCACTAAATAAAAAGGTCCTTGTTCTAAGCACTGTATCTACATATGCTACAGTGGGTACCTTCTGAGAAAAAAGTAAATGTGGTATCATGAAAATAGCACCAAATGTGGCACCAAGTAGCTATGTAGCTTTAAACAAATCCCGTAACATCTCTTATAGGGAGTCAGTAGATAGTTTCATGAGATCCCTTTCAGCTGTCATGTTGTAAAAAACCAGTTCTACACAATATTGTTCAGAAAGAAAATCTTACTAGAGTAGAAAGGCTAGATGTAGTTAGTAGAAATAGAATATTAATGGGGAACACTGGAAAAATCGTCTTAAGAAGTGTCTGTTCATATCCTTCACCCACTTTTTGATGGGTTTGTTTGGTTTTTTCATATATTCCTTGGCTGTATAAATGTCCTTTTTTGAGAAGTGTCTGTTCATATCCTTTGCCCACTTTTTGATGGGGTTGTTCGTTTTTATCTTGTAAATTTGTTTAAGTTCCTTGTAGATTCTGGATATTGGCCCTTTGTCAGATGGCTAGATTGCAAAAATTTTATCCCATTCTGTATGTTGCCTGTTTGTTCTGATAATGGTTTCTTTTGCTTGCAGAAGCTCTTTAGGTTAATTAGATCCCATTTGTCAGTTTTGGCTTTTGTTGCCATTGCTTTTGGTGTTTTAGTCATGAAGTCTTTGCCCATGCCTATGTCCTGAATGGTATTGCCTAGGTTGTCTTCTAGGGTTTTTATGCCTTTAGACTATTGGTGGAAGTATAAATTAAATCAACCATTGTTGAAGACAGTGTGGCAATTCCTCAAGGATCTAGAACCAGAAATACCATTTGACCCAGCAATTCCATTACTGGGTATATACCCAAAGGATTATAAATCATTCTACTATAAAGACACATGCGCACGTATATTTATTGCAGCACCATTCACAACAGCGAAGACTTGGAACCAACCCAAATGCCCATCAATGATAGACTGGATAAAGAAAATGTGGCACATATACACCCTGGAATACTATGCAGCCATAAAAAAGGATGAGTTCATGTGCTTTGCAAGGACATGGATGAAGCTGGAAACCATCATTCTCAGCAAACTAACACAGGAACAGAAAACCAAACACCACATGTTCTCACTCATAAGTAGGAGGTGAACAATGAGAACACATGGACACAGGGAGGGAAACATCATACACCAAGGCCTATCAGGGGTTGAGGGGCTATGGAAGTGATAGCATTAGGAGAAATACCTAATGCAGATGATGGGTTGATGGGTACCGCAAACCACCTATGTAACAAACCTGCACGATCTGCACGTGTATCCCAGAACTTAAAGTATAATAAAAAATGAGAAAAGAGAAAACTGAGGATTAAAGAGGTTAAATATCAATTACATGTGAGAGCCATATTTCAGATCCAAATCTGCTCCATGTTTCAGAGCCTGAGCTCTGCACTGTTGTACTGTGGCCAGAAATGGTTGCATTATAGAAACAGGAATCAAGTAGGATCTTGATTAGCAGATAAGATTTGTGAAAGTGAAAAAGGAAATGACCTCAGGAAAAATAACATATGGAACCACCTTGATTAGAGCAAGATATTGTCAGAGCATATTTTAAATTATTTGAGTTGAGGTGCAACAAGTTAATTATACATGAAAATATTAAGAAAAATTCTAGCAGCAAAAAGAGGATGAATATGATAGACAAGGGATTGAAATCAGGTAGACCCTTTAGTAGACTTTATTTATAGTAACCCACAACGACTGAATAAAAACTGAACTCTGGGGAGTGACCTTGGGAATAGTGGAGAAAAGTTATATGGAAGATAGCTCAAGTGAAAAATTGATCAGAATTTGATTACAAATCAAACTGAGAATTAGGAAAAAGAGCAAGTCAACGATCCCACCACAGTTTTGGTTTTGGAAGAGAATAGGGATGGGAAAACAGTGGAAAAGACAGGGTAGCAAAGGTGGTAAAACCTTGATTTTAATTCCCACATAGCTGTTCAAGTGGAGTGTTCTGTAAGCATTTTATGGGACAGACTTGGAGTTTAATGCAAAAACAGGAATGGAGAAATTTGAAATGTTGGCAACTTTTATATACTCCCTTTATGCTTGCAACCCAGTTTCCTCCCATCCAGACTTTGACATTTTTTATTAACCAGTTGTGCATTAAGATAATACCATAAATCTGTTTCTACTTTCCAGAAAGAAATTCTGGAACAACAGCAGCAAGAACGAAATGATACCAATTTTCATGGCATTTGTATGTTTTGCAATGAAGAATTCCTTGGAAACAGGTTTGCCATTATGCATCTTTAAATGTTACTGTTTTTTAATCTGGAAACCCATCAAAACATCCTTAACTGTTGGTTATATAAATTAAGTTATATGTGTTGGCTCAGGACCCTTTCGTTTATAAGCAGTACTTTTTAAAAATATGCCCAACATCAAAGATGGACTGTAGTTGCTCTAAGCAGCAGAGGGGTATAAATTCTTAAAATGACAGAAGCAGATTTATGTTTAATGTTATAGGACTTTTAAAATTGGCTGACCGGCAAGACCATATGCAGCAAACTACTGCAGATGCACCTCCATATACTAACTCGTTTCCTCTAAATCACTGGTAACTTTTCACTTTTGATTATTAAAAATAAAGACATAAAAAAGAAGTGGTGGCACTGATGATTCTATCACCAATCCCAGCTGGTCCAAAACCAGCTGGTGCAGTACAATTCCATTCTGGCACTAATCACCTGGGATTAGCATCAAGTTTTACATATTTAAGGGCACAAGCTCAAACAAGACTGCCTTCACATTAGACACCCGCCATAAACTCGTGTGGTCCCAAGGCTACCCAAAGTTTTGACCACTGGTTATGAAGTCAGAGGTTCCCACTGATAATTTCATGGGTTTGATAATTTGCTAGAATTACTTACAGAACTCAGGAAAGCACTGTACTTATGATTACAGTTTTACTATAAAGGATACAGATGAGAAACAGCCAAATGAAGAGACAAATTGGGCGGGGTTTGAGAGGGTCCTGAATGAGGAGTTTCTGATTCCTCTTCCCAAGGAATTAGGACCTGTCACTGTCCTAGCACATTAAGGAATTCACCAACCAGCAACCCACTCTGAGTTTTGGTATCCCGAGTTTTTATGTAGAACTTCATTATGTAGGTATGATTGATTAAATTATTGAACTCCATCAGCAGCCCCCTCCCCTCTCTGGAGGTCTGACTGGCTCAAAGTCCCAACCCTCTAGTCATATGGTTGGTCTTTATAGTGACCGTTTCCCATCTGGAAGCTATGTAGGGTCCTACCAGGAGTCTCCTCATTCGCATAATAATAAATATACTCCTATCACTAGAAAAATTACTAGAAACTTTGTGCTAGGAACAAACGACAAAGACCAGACACATTTATTATTATGCATCAGTAATGTTTACAAATGTACATTCACTTAAATACAAGTTATGAAGTTGTAACCTCTAGGAACTCAGGATGATTTCACTGATTCAGCATACAGTGGACAATCAGAAAAATATCATTCTCTGCTAACTTGAAAGAAAGCAGTCTTTAGTGAAAACATAGCCCAGCACAGTAACTGACATTGTTATGTGAAAAACCTTGGAAAGGAGAAGGTAGCTACTTATTGGAATTTATGAAAGAGTTTAGTTGAGGCATTAATGTTCAAAACACCAGTGGTAAAGGTTTGATTCTCGGATCAGTTAGCATAGAGAAAAATCTGTGCCACGGCCACTGATTGTACTTCTAACATTTTCCTTCTATTTCAAAGGACTTTATGGGTATAACAATAAAGGCCAGTCTTAAAAATTAGCTTAAAAGTACCAGTGAAAACCCATGCCACCATCAGAAAAATTACCAAACATTACTACTGACAATGTTTTAACAAGATATTTCTGATTTTATGTTAAGGTAATTATTGACCTAGTGAGGAGGCATGTGATTATTGTCAGAGATCTCTCGTATTGGCATATGGGAAGCTACCAATGATATTTTTGTTTTCTATAAAGTTCTAGTGATGAATGTGGATATGGATATGATTTGAAATATCTATCCATATGATATTAAATTCTTACAATATTGGTATTTGAACATATTAAATATTAGTGTTTCTCTAGTTCCTAATATAATCCCCCTGTTCGTCTAGTCTAACTTATCTGCATTCTCTATTGAGTAGGGTCACATAGGAATTACATGAGCTCCTCAGGAGTCTTGACTTATGCCATTGTTCTGGCATAAGTAAATGTATATATCTTTTTTAAATAACCAGTGAGAAAGATAGTGTCTAGTTCTTATAAAAATCCCCTTTCCTTCATCAGTTCTTTTTATTTATGAAAAGCTCAGCCTGTAAGATGAAAGACACAACCTGATTCCACTTATACACTATATTAGCAGTGTTGCAGGCGTACATTTGTGTCCTCCCAGCATTGGGACATAAAAATAGAAAGAAGGAGGTGGATAACAGACAAGGATAGAGTAATGAGTACTTTCTTCTTACCATACATCTAATTTTTCCCCTCTCCTCCACACCCTTCATTATTGTTTTAACCTGTTTGTGTCTTTTAATCTAAAGTATATCTCTTATAGACAGTATACAGTTGGATCATTTTTTATCCATTCTGCCAGTCTTCACCTTTTCATTGTAGTACTTAATTCATTTGTGTTTAATGTCATTATTAATAAGATCACGTTTACTTCTACCATTTTGCTATTGGTTTTCAATATGTTTTAGGTCTTCTCATTATTCTCCTCTATTGTTGCCTTCTTTTGTGTTGAATAGGTATTTTCTAGTGTATGATTTTAGTTCCCTTGTTTCTTATACCATGGATTTTGAACTCTTTTTCTTAGTGGTTGCCCTGGGGATTGCAACTAACATTTCAATTGAAAACAATCTGTTTCAGATTAATAACAACTTTAATTTCAATAATATGCAAAAACTTTGCTCCAATGTAGTTTGTTTCCTCCTCACTCCTTTGTGCTAATGTTGTCATACAAATTATACCTTTATATATTATCAGCTCATGAACATGTTTGCTAATTACTGCTTTATACAGTTATCTTTCATATCAGATATGAGAAAAAAGGGTCCTAAAAATGCAATTATACTGTATTTTATATTTACTTACATAATTACCTTTATTGGTGATCTTGATTTCTTTATGTAGATTGAAGTTATTGTCTAATGTCCCTTTCTTTTAACCTAAAGAACTTTCTTCAGTTTCTTGTTGGAGAGATTTGCTAGCAATGAATTCTTGCAGTTTCTGTTTATCTGGGAATGTCTTGATTTCTCCTTCATTTTTTTTCTTCCATATTTTTTTGAGGAATAGTTTCACAGGATATAGAATTATTGATTGGTAGTCTTTTTCCTTTAGCACTTTGAATATGACATTCTACTACCTTCTAGTTTCCATAATTTCTGGTGAGAAATCACTTACTGAGGACTGCCTGCCTGTATGTAAGGAGTTGACTTTTTTCTTGCATCTTTCAAGATCTCTCTGTCTTTGCCTGTTGACAGTTTATGTGTTGATAAGGATCTCTTATCTCTTGGTAAGAATCAGTGAATTTGAAGATTGTTCAATTGAGATTTTTCCAATCTTCAGAACAGAAGGAAAAAAGAACAACAACAACAAAAAATAAACAGCTACAGAGATCATCAATCAGATTCTTACCCTGCCCCACTAGAGTTTGTGTTCCTGTTTGTGTGTTTAGTGATTTTCTTGGATTAATTCTCTTGATTTGTCCTACTTGAAATTTATTGGGTTTCTTAGATGTTTAAATTAATGTATTCCATCAAATTTGAAAAGTTTTTCAGACATTATTTATTTAAATGTTGTTTCTGCCCCCTTTCTCTCTGTCTCTCTGTTTCTCTGTCTCTCTTCGCTCGCTTTTTGGAAATCCTATTATACATATGTCGGTAAGCTAGATCTCTGTAGCTCTGTATTTTTTTGTTTTGTTTTTTTCTTTTGTTTCTAAGACTGGAAAATCCCATTTGACCAATCTTCAAATTCATTGATTCTTACTTCCAGCTTAAGTTTTTTGAGCCCCTCTAGTCAATTTTTTATTTCAGTTATTGTACTTTTCAAATCCAAAATTTCTATTGGTTGTCTTTTAAAAAAAACTTTCTGGCTACTCTTGGCCACTCTGCGTATGATACATCTCTGCTGTGTCTATGGAGCAGCATTTTTAAAACACAAAATAAAATACATAATAATTTATATCTTTTTATTGGTATTCTGTTTGGTGAGATATCATTTTCATAATTTCGTTTGATTCTTTTGACAGGGGTTTCTTTTTTTTTTTTTTTTTTTTTTTTTTTTTTTTTTTTTTGGGCTTTTTTTTTTTTTTTTTTTTTTTTTTTGAGGCGGAGTCTCGGCTCTGTCGCCCAGCCTGGGAGTGCAGTGGCCGGATCTCACTCACTGCAAGCTCCGCCTCCCGGGTTCACGCCATTCTCCTGCCTCAGCCTCCCGAGTAGCTGGGACTACAGGCGCCCGCCACCTCGCCCGGCTAGTTTTTTTTTATTTTTTAGTAGAGACGGGGTTTCACCATGTTAGCCAGGATGGTCTCGATCTCCTGACCTCGTGATCCGCCCGTCTCGGCCTCCCAAAGTGCTGGGATTACAGGCTTGAGCCACCGCGCCCGGCCTTGACAGGGGTTTCTTTAGTTCTTTTGAACATATTCGTATTAGTTAACTTAAAGTCTTTGTCTACTGTGTCCAACATCTGGATTTTCTCAGGGGTGATTTTTGTTTCTACTTTCTTCCCCCGTGCAGATATACCAAAGTTTCTTATTTTTTTTTTGCATGTCTTGTAATTTTTTTGTTGAAAACTCAACATTTAAGTAATATAATGTGGCAACTCTGGAAATTGGATTCCTCCTCCACCCCACCAAGGTTTTTGTTACTTTTAGTGTGTTTAGTGACTTTCTTGGACTAATTCTCCAAAGTGCATATTATTGCTAACGTGTAGCCACTGAAGTCTCTGCACAGTTAGCTTAGTGTCCAGCTAATGATCAGACAGAGATTTTGTTAAATTCCTTGAACCATTTTATCTTCTGCCCTTTGTCAAGGGGCTTTGTATGTGGGTTGGGACACACCTTCAACACTTCATCAGTTTACAGTTCTGCTTTAGCCTCCACTTCTTGCTTGTGTAGAGTTTCAAGGTTAACCAGAGATGAGAGATTAGGGTCTTCACAGGTTTTTCTGGGGCATATATAGACCGGCACATGTGTATGGCCTTCTAGATCCCCAGGAAAATGTCAACTTTCAAAGTCCTCTATAGACACCTCATTACCCAGATTTTCCTTCCAAATTTTTTGGCCTATTGTTTGCTGCAATTAGTATTGCCTCAGGGAACTGTGATGTTACAAAATTGTCACTGATTGTTTCTGTCAAATGCCCTAGGGGTGAGAATTTTTTCAATGGGTAGGCTGAATCATGTCAAATAAAGACAAACCCTGTGAATGAGCCTTTTCCCATCACCTGCCATATAGGCTGAATAGTAACAGTCCTTGTAACATTTCTTTCAGAATGGCCCACTTGTATTCTGTCCCCTCCAGTGGCTCTGAGCCTGCTGTTGTCAAGGCTATTGTGGAGCTAAGGGGAGGAGAATGGAATGGGGCAAATTAAAACATCACAAAGCTCACCATTCTTACCACAGTTGAGCCATGTTTCTTAAATAAATGTTCGTTGGATTGTTGCATGCCTCCTGTTAATTCCAGAGTCCTTAAAAAGTTGATTTTGACCATTTTCACCAGTGCTACTGTTGCTTTAATAGAGGAGCAGATTTTCGGAGGTCCATGCCCCACTGTTCCAGAAGTGCTTCTCTCAAAGCTATTTATTTAATTTAATCATGTTTGCCCAAATCACATTTATAAGTTTAGTGAAAACTGATTACAAACAGTATTAAACCAGGAAAAAAAAATGAGATCAGAGAGCACTATGTAAGGAAATATTTATTCCTAAAGTATAGGGAAAGAATATTTGAAAAGGAAAAGTACATGAAATAATTTTTTAAGTAAAACTTCACTTCAGCCCAAAAGGTATTATGTATTTATAGTTATTACATGCTTTTGAGGACCATTAGGAATGTGAAAAAAAATAATACCAGTGCTCCTTGATTTACAGTGGGGTTACATCTCAATAAAGTCATTGTACATTTAAAATGTCATAAGTCAAAAAAAATTTAATATACCTAACCTACCTTAGGCATGCTTTGAACACTTACATTAGCCTACAGGTAAGCAAAATTGTCTAACACAAACCGTAGTTTATAATAAAGTTTTGAATATCTCATATAATTTATTGAATATTGCACCGAAAGTAAAAAACAAAATGGTTGTCAAAGTACAGTTAGGTCATTAATAATAAAATTAAGCTTATAAAGAAAGGAGTTAAAATAATAATTTAAACTGTTATACATTTAATTTCCCAGAAATTAAAGCAAGTTGACATTAGGAATTAATTTAAAAATTAAAGAAATAATTCAGCAATTTGAGGAATCATCTTGGCTGATCAAGAATAAAGGACTTCAAAATCTGATATGAAGCAGATCACATAAGATGCCATCTCTATTCCAAATCCCCAAAGATTTTCTTGGCCCTTTACCAACCAGCAGCTGTGGCTAGAAGGGTGAAGCCTTCCCTCCCTTCTCACCTCAGACTAATAGGCTGAATCAAGCTAATTTTGAATTAGCTAGCAAACCACTTAAGTACTTGTATTAGTCAGGGTTCTCCAGAGAAACAAGACCAATAGTATATATAGATATGTAAGAGGAGACTTATTATGGGAATTGGCTCACACAATTATGGAGTCCAAGAAGTGTCACAATACGCCATCTGTGAGTTGGAGATCCAAGAAAGCCGATGGTAAATTCAGTCTGAATCCAAAGGCCTTAGAACCATGAAGTTGAGTATTTAGGAACAGGAGAAGATGAATTTCCCAGCTCAACTATCTGGGCCCCCAAGCCTTGGATGATGCCTCCCCTCATTGGTATGGGCTATCTTCTTTACTCAGTCTGCTGATTCAAATGCTAATCTCTTCCAGAAACACCCTCACAGACACACCTAGAAATACTGTTTTTACCAGCTATCTGGGCATCCTTCAACCAGGTCAAGCTGACGTGTAAAATAAACCACGTGTTGGAGAGGACAGCCAGCCCCTTCTTGAGCCTGCTGCCAGCTCCATCTGTACCTGGCCCCCCTTTCAGAGCCTGGATATCAGGCTTAGAACCCTGGGTAGTCCTGGCTAAGGATAGGCCACTCCTAGGGGAACCTCCCCTAAAACCAGAAGACATCAAGGACCACCAGATCAGAGCATGGGACCAATTGAAGACTGTTAACCCCACCAACCCTCTTCCTAACACTGACTTGGCCTTCACTCAGTCCCCTTCCAACTCTTAGATGTCAGTCATAGAACCCTTGGTAAACCTGGCTCAATTTTGGCCCACTGTGGTAGAACAGTCCTGCATCCAGAAGGCATTAGGGATGGTAGCAATTAAGTATGTGGCCAGGGTAGCCTCCCAACACTCCTATCTGCTTTGAGACAGCTGCTTGTTAGCCCTCATTCCCTCACTTTCAATGTCTGTATTCCTGGCTGGCAAGCCCCCAAAAAGTTCAGAGCAAGCCTAGGCTCACATAGGCTTGTTCTCAGTAGGGCAACATAGCCTGGGATCATGGGGACCTTCCTAGTACACCTATACCTCCTGAGCCAGCTACTGTATCTTGGTCCATTCCAAGGCTTGGGTGTCAGGTCTGAAAACCCTGGGTAGACCTAACAGGCTTGGTTGCTGTTGGGGGAACACTTTGAAGTCAAGAAGGCCTGACCTAGCTAAGCCTGGAAACAAGTTCTAAGGACTGTCAGTCAGTTCCACCCACATCCCTCCCAGCAAGCTGCCAGCTGCAACCAAAAGCCTTACTAAACCAATCCTCTTAGATCCCAGAAGCCACTGTGGCTTACCTGAACAGAGCCTTTGAGACTGGCCAAGCCTCCAAACTCATTTACCCCATGAGCCAACCACTGGCCTCTCATCTCGTAACTCAGACTCTAGATGCCAGATTCTTGGGCCCTAGAGAGGTTGAGAGCAGGATTAGGCTCCCCTGAGTATATTCAGTGTGACTCTTAATGGCAAGACATTTTGATCCTAGATAACCTGAGGTTGAGGGAAACCTCCCAACCCACCTATACCCCTTGAGTCAGATATTATTTCTGACAGCACCCAGGCACAATCTAGACTCTGGATCTTCATCCTGGAAGTTCTAGGCAGATGTTAACTATGACTTGGCCACTCTAGGAGAACCTGCCTGGATCCAGAGGCACTGTACGTTACCCCAACATGGCCTTGGGGATAGGGGGACCTTTCCGACCCTCTGCCTGACACCCTCTCCCCACCCCAAAACACACACACACCTACCACACTGCCTACAAGGGGCTCCCAGCTCCGCTTTCACCTGAACTGTTCCACAGCCTGAGCCTCAGGTCTGGAACCCCTGGCAAGGTGTAGCTCTGTCTGGGCTGCCCCTGGGAAAACTTTTGTGGGCCCAAAAGGCACGGTGAACTACCCCAACAAGTAGTTTTAGTCAAAGTTATCAGTAATAGGCAGTGAGACAAATGAGCATACTAACCACAAGGCTAATAAATGTATCCCTTACATAGTAAAAAAAAAAAAGAAAAGTCAACAAACATTTTTATAGAAATGTTTGTTTTATTTCTTTATTTCACTTTCTCGAGGGGAAAAAAAAACACTAAAAGCATTTTTTTGAGGGGAACCATGTAAGTGTCTAAATAATCTAGATAAAACCATATAATATCTCACTATGCATAGTCTATCAGTGGTGCTTATACTGATGAGGCTTTCCAAGACAGTCACCTTTATTTTATGAACTAAAGTTGGGAGAAAAACTCTGTAGAATATATTATACACGTATATTTTTTTGCTATGTAAAAGTTACATAATTACATTTGTCCTTTTCTGTGTACGTTAATCAAGAGGTTGGTCATTATGTTGCAGATTTTCACAGCCCTTGCATTTAATAGACCTGTTAACTGTGGGCTCCAGGTCACTGTCCAGTGATACACTGGACCTGTTAACTGTGGGCTCCGGGTCATTGTCCAGTGATACACTGGACCTGTTAACTGTGGGCTCCAGGTCATTGTCCAATGATCCACTGGCTAAATGCCTGTGATCTTAGGTCAGAGCAGGTTGTATTTATGTTAGGCAGTTGCCTCTTACTCTTCTCCATGATGAATTGGAAAAGTAGAAGCAGCACAGTTAATTTAATAGGTTAAAGCAGTGATCCCCAACCTTTTTGGCACCAGGGACCCGTTTCAGAATGAAACTGTTTTATCTCAGATCATCAGGCATTAGATTCTCATTGTCATAACGAGTGCACAACCTAGATCCCTCGCATGCACAGTTTACAATAGACTTCGCGCTCCTGTGAGAATCTGATGCCACCACTGATCTGACAGGAGGCAGAGTGCAGGTGATAATGCTCACTTGCCCGCCTCCCACCTCTTTCTGTGCCGCCTGGTTCCTAACAGGCCATGGACCAATACCCCTGGTTTAAAGGACAGAACCTGATTCTTCTATAGAGTGTAGCCAAGCAGCAGATAGTGGAACAAACTGGTTTCCGTTTACAGAACTGATGTGACTGTACACTCACATACTTTATAATGTCACTCTTTAGTAGCTGAAACGTTTGTGCTTAGCACTTGCTTATACTTCTAATTAGTGTTTTTATTATGTGAATGCTATTCCAACCCAAATGTGTTCTTAGATGATTTGTGAATAATCCTAATTGCTCAAATTTCTTCCTAGATCTGTTATTTTGAACCACATGGCCAGAGAACATGCTTTCAACATTGGATTGCCAGACAACATTGTAAACTGCAATGAATTTTTGTGTACATTACAGAAAAAGCTTGACAAGTAGGTACTGATTTATGGAACACTGCCTAAAGCTCTTTTAATCTTGGACTCTGTTGTGAATTTTTTTAAATTAATTTAATAGAGTAATTAAAGAAGCAGGAGTTTCCCATGTTGGAGGAGTTCTCATTTTGTGCAACAGTCCTTATTTTGTCTAGATCATATTGCCCTTTGGCGTTTTTTAAATTTTTCAAATATACTATGTCATATATACCAGACAGTATACATATCATACAACATATGCTATATAGGATATGAAGAATACACTCACTGTCTAACCTAAGAAATAGAGCATTGTTAATTCCTTTGAATCTCCCTGTGTGCCTTTCCTCATTAGTATTTCCCCAGAAACCACTATTCTTAATTTTGGAATTGTAATTCCTTTAGTTTTCACTGTAACTTGTCTACATATTTAGTAAGGTAAATATATTGTCAAATTATGGAATGGTGTTTAATTTTGTGTGAAACATAGTGTACTGTATGTATTCTTCTCCCTTTTGGTTTTCATTCACATTTGTATATAATACTCCATTTCCTCAAGGTTATATTCTGGCAACTATATCCAGAGCTTAGCCTGTTGAAATAGGGAAGAAAATTCTTTAGGTCACCAGAATGACTTTCAAAAATGTATCCACTTTTTTTACTAGGGAAAGAGCCCAAAATTTTTTCTCTGAGAACCCAGTTTTTTTTATTCAAATAAAATACTAACAAGTGTGGTGCTTCAACCCACAGCATTGAGAGCAACAACATTAAAGATAAAATAAGACCCAGGCACGGTAGCTCACAACTGTAATCCCAGCACGTTGGGAGGCCAAGGTGGGCGGATCACCTGAGGTCAGAATTTGGAGACCAACCTGACCAACATGGAGAAACTCCGTCTCTACTAAAAATACAGAATTAGCCAGGCATGGTGTTGCATGCCTGTAATTCCAGCTATTCGGGAGGCTGAGGCAGGAGAATCGCTTGAACCCGGGAGGCAGAGGTTGTGATGAGCAGAGATTGCGCCATTGCACTCCAGCCTGGGCAACAAGAGCAAAACTCTGTCTCAAAAAAATAAATAAATAAATAAGAGGTAGCAAGTAATCCAGATTAATTATAAAAAGTTTTAAATTCAAAATCTGATGTCAACACTATGTTAAATCAAGTCCCTTCACCCTTTTGTTAAATGACTATTTATAACATAAGACCACATGTGCCTTCTAGCAAGATTAGCAATAATGAATATCTATAATCAGCTTATCCCCCATAAATTGTCGACCATAACAGAATATACTACAAAAGAATATTATTATGCCCTGGAATATATTCTTTGGCATAAGAAATTGATGAAAAGATGTTTAGTAGAGATAAAAACAAATTCAAAATTGAAACAATAACAGATTGCAATCATTTGAGAGTTTCCCATGTAAAAGATATTTATACTTAGACACTGTGTGGCTCCAGAAAGTAGAACTCTCTACTTTTTACTGAATAGCAGTTATAATACATGTTGTATCAACTGTCAGGCTTAGTATGAGAAAGACATTTTGTTAATAATCTGCTCAAAACTGGTAATTGCTGCTTCATTAGGTAATGAATGCCCAGTTGGTGGAAATATTCGAGCAGAAGGTATGAGAATTATATGGTAGTAACAGCTATTATTTATCTTATTCACGTACATGAATAAATACCTAGCACAGTTCATAGTGCACAGTGAGTGCTCAATAAGTATATATATGAAATTGTTATTTCAAAATCTCTAAAATGTTGGTATTCAGTTTAGAAATCAGAAAATGGCAACAGAGAAGGCAAGTAACTTTACCAAGTCCCCCAGCTAGCTGGCACTGCAGCAAGGAATTAAACCCTGCAAATCAGCTCACAGGATATCGCAAACCATGCAGTAATTATTATATATACTGGGTGCAGTCAGTGCAAGTCATTATAATTATATGAAGAACATACCTACATACTTACTTTAGAATTTGGTAATTCAGTTAGTAAAGAACCAAAATGATTTTTGGATATGACCTATCTTTGTCACAGTCTTAACTAAAGAGCCAAGTTGGTCAGCTTAGCTAACTAAAAACACTCTACAAAGCCAAATGAATAAAGTGAGGGGGGACTCTGACAAGGATGGTATATCCCATTTGAAGATTCTGTGTGACTTAAAATGAATAAATACAAAACTCAATAATAATAAAGTGCGGTGGCTTGAGCCTGTAATCCCAGCACTTTGGGAGGCCGAGACGGGCGGATCACGAGGTCAGGAGATCGAGACCATCCTGGCTAACACGATGAAACCCCGTCTCTACTAAAAAATACAAAAAAACTAGCCGGGCGAGGTGGCGGGCGTCTGTAGTCCCAGCTACTTGGGCTGAGGCAGGAGAATGGCGTAAACCCGGGAGGCGGAACTTGCAGTGAGCCGAGATCTGGCCACTGCACTCTAGCCTGGGCGACTCCGTCTCAAAAAAAAAAAAAAATAATAATAATAATAATAATAAAGGACTATTGCAGCAACTATACAAGAGACTTGTTTATCAGTGTTTGTATATTTCTTGTAGTTTACAGTGCTTGTACTGTGAGAAGACCTTCAGGGACAAAAATACACTTAAAGATCACATGAGGAAAAAACAGCATCGTAAGATTAATCCTAAGAACAGAGAATATGACCGATTTTATGTCATCAATTATTTGGTAAGGCTTTCTTTTCATAACTTAAAATTTGATTGCAGTACTGCAAACAAAATCTTTCTGAGGACCAACTAATATTTGAATAAGCAATTAATGCAAAGGTCAAAATGTAATTGAGGGGAACATTCAAGTAGTGATTAGCTTTAAAATGGTTAGAGTACAAGACATTGGATTTGATTTGTCTTTTATTTGACAGTGTTTATGTAGTAAAAATGTCATGTCTCTAGAACTCACAGTCATCTTGACCAAAAAAAAAAAAAAAAATGCAGTATTTGGATATCCACATACCATCCCCCATTTATGTAATATCTTTTAACTTGGGACCGGAGACTCCTTTTTTTTTTTTTCTTTTTTTCTTGAGACAGAGTCTTGCTCTGTCGGCCAGGCTGGAGTGCAGTGGCATGATCTTGGCTCACTGCAACCTCTGCCTCCTGGGATCAATTCTGTCTTGGCCTCTCTAGTAGCTGATATTGCAGGTGCGTACCACTGCACCTGGCTAATTTCTGGATTTTTAGTAGAGACAGGGTTTCTCCATGTTGGCCAGGCTGGTCTCAAACTCCTGGCCTCAAGTGATTCACCTGCCTCGCCCTCCCAAAGTGCTGGGATTATAGGTGTGAGCTATCACACCTGGCCAGAGAGACTTCTGTATTCTGTTCAAAAGAAACTGTAGAGTACTGGATGTGTTAGGTGCTATGCGAAATAATTCTTTAAAAACAATCTCTTTGCTCTTTCCCTTTCACCCCTACAGGTGTGTATCTTTATCATTCTCTTCAGTCAGTTTATTTTTAAGGGAAGTTTCAAGGAAACCAAACCATTTTACCATGAAATGGGATTTTTATTTGTTGGCTTGTGGGGTAGACTAACCAGGTTACCATGCCAAGGATTTTAAATGTATTGATAGCTCTCCTTCCCCAGAAACCTCAATGCCGTTTGCTGGCCTCTGTAGATTTCAAGAAGAGGCATTCAAATGGAGACTGTAGGGGTTGGGGGAGAGGCATTTGTAAATATGGGAGGGTATTTTTGATAGACAGCAATGACTGGGGAGTCTTACTGGGCCTGCCTTCAATCTACTGATTTTTAAAATATATATATTTGTCATACATTTTTATATATTTTTTATATATGACAAATGTGTATGACTACTCATATAAAAGAAGGGGTTATGTAACTTTCCAGAGGAACTGGAAGAAAAATGGAGAGTTCTGTTTTGAATGGGCATTTTTCTTAAGCAAATGGAAATTATTTTTTCTCTCAGTGTAAATGAATTAAAACCCAAACCCACTGGTCACAAAAGGCTAATTGAATATAATCAGCCATTTTATCTATTGGATAGAAACAAGCATATCCTGAATTATGCTGGAAATCTCTGCTTTAGGGTGGAATTTTGTCTGTTCTAACTAATCCTTGTAGTGTTAAAATTCCCCTTGGGAAGCAAGTTTAACATGTGTTTGAAGATTGACTCTAAGAGGTTGCCATGGTTTTCTACAAATGTTTTACAACCAGCTAAAGGCAAACTACCCTTTGAGCCCTTCCATCTTTTCTTGAAATCACTCAGTCATTACTTCCTAGAGCAAATGCTGCTTCTGGACCCAGCCCAGTCTAATAGGGAGTGGACTTCAGTGCTAGCTCTAAGAAATATTCAGCTACTGCATCTAGCTATAGGAGCAATTTAATAGTTCTTCCTTCTGGGGCTCTTTTAAAACTAATGTTGAAGAGCTTGAGACTAGCAGAACATTATATAGCTGGAGGTTTTTACCTTTTAGAGGAGACTTCAAAGGATTTGCTCACTCTTATTCTGCCAGCACTTTTAGAAAAGTATGATACTTCATTTCCTGGGCATCAAGTAGGGTAGCTGTCAAAACTGAAATCATCTGCCAGGGCCAGCCATCTCTAGATGAGCGTGCTAGATTGTGCTGCTCACACAGGGCAACGATTTGATGTGGCGTGGACCACAGATTTAGAGAAGTATTTCAAGAGAAAGTAAGGACTTTAACAATGTACAAAATGACAATTAAATTACAACTTTAGAGTCATATTGATAGAAGTCCTTTTTTTAACTAGCAGCTATTTGAGTACTTATAATTTGCAGGCACTATCCTAGGTATTTATATTGAATTATTTAATTCGAGTCACATTTTTATGACACAGGTATTGTCACTAAGCCTCTTATAGGTAAGGTGACTGGGCACAGAGAGGCTAATTTTCCAGAGGTCACATGGCTAGGGCAAATTACTTATCCCGGGCATCAGTTTCCTTCATTTTTACAATTGAGACAAGACTAGTACCTACATCTGATGCTTTGGGTTGGGTATTTTGGCCAAGTAATGGTGATGAGTTCATAATGATCTGTTCACCCACCCTTGCCTATTCTCTTTTGTAATAACTAAGAAGTGAGCCAAGGTCAAAGTAAAGCTGACGTTAATCAGCACTTTAAGGCTCTGCTCCACAATCTTAGTCTTCCTAGCCCAATTCCGATTCCTGTTCCTATTCCCTGTTTTCTATTCCCTATTCCTATGTGAAATTCTTGCTGAGGTAAATAACCAAAAACTCTAAGAATGATCAACAAAAAAAGAAACCCTAAAATGTGTTACGATGCCTTAGCATTGTGGAAATGATGTAAACACCTTTGAAAAGGAGGGAAGAAACCTATCGGCTTCACTAAAGACATACCCATGCGCTAAACCAGAGGGGTGCTCACCAGAGGTATCAGCCGCAGTAACATTCGAGGAATAGTTGAAGGAATACTGTTACAAATTAAAAGTATAATAATATATAGAATAAGTGTATAAAAAACTGTCCCAAATACTAAGAGTAGAGGTAGAGAAAAATAAAGGCCAATGTCTTCTCAGTATCATTTTAGTATTATTCCAGACCTCATTAAAGAATAATATTTAACGCGAAGAATATGAATAATAAATTGATATGAAGAATAAATTCTAAATTTTACTTAAACAATAATGACAATATTTTATTTAAAAAATATGTATATATTCCCTTGTTATCCCTCTGAGGGAAAGGGCTGACATGAATGTGGGCAAAAGATAGAATTGTTTATCTTAGTAATCACTGTTTATACATTATTTTATTGATGTCATACATTCTACATACATTTGAGTGCCTTCCAGCTACCAGATGCTAGAAGAGAAAGAAAAAATATTGTAGATAGAAAGGCTGATTTGAGTCACTACTTTCAAAGAGTTCAGGAGTCGGTATGGAAGACCACTACGTAAGCACGTTAGTTTGAACCCTTTGTAATGGTATATCGAAAGTCAGCGTTTGACCTCTCCTATAGCAAATATATGCAGTCATTGAGTCATTCACACACAGAGCTCCTCACTCCACTTCAAATGCCATAGACACGGCCAGCGCAACAGTGATGGGAGCATGTAGGATATCCATGGCAAGATACACTCTGATAGGCAGCAGAAGTAGGAGAGCCAGTGGACAGAGGAGCTGCTTTTGGCTTTCTGAGCTCAGCAAATTGACAAGTTCCGTTTTCCTTCTTAGATGAGATAATTTCTGTGCTTAATCATTCATATCAGTTTCTGAATAATTACAGACTTGCAAAAACATTAAAAGTCGTTTGCATAGTCTGACTTATCTACTTCAAATTCTTGCTTTCTTTTCTCACAAACAAAAGAGTTCAGCAGGTAGTGAGGATGGGTTGGGGGTAAGGTGCCAGTTAGTTTCACATTCAGATAACCTTTCCTCAGAGGGCAACAGACTGCTTAACATCAAGGCTTCAGCTGCATATTCCTATGATGCTCATGCTTCAAACCCTGAGTTTTTCTAAAGGGAATTGGTTTTGCCATGATTTTTATCATTCTTTGATTTAAATTTTTTTTATTCTTAAAGTATACAAAACCACTTATAACAAAAGTAGGCTTTTAACTGATTTTTCATAGTTTTTTATAGTTCTCCCTAGTGAAATTATTTACGCTTAAAACGCTTTCTGTTTCTGATGGAGTTTTGTGTAAGCACACGTAAGTGACTATGTATTAGGGCAGAAGTGTGATGGGTGAAGGGGATCTTTTTCTTCCATGTTTTTTTCCACCCTCTCATTGTTCATGAGCCATCTGATGCAGGGCTTTGAGGGGGTGTCTGAACATCTTTACTGATATGCCTTCCAAACTTCGTTTTTCTTACATTCTTTGCTTTCCTGACATGATTCGTTAGCAGGCATAGTGTCTTAATTAGAGAGTTACATGGTTTTTTTGGTTTGTTTTTTGTTCTTGTTTTCGCTTTGGGTCTTGTTTCTATAATAAATCATATCTTTAACTGTACCAAAGCAGAGCACTCTAGGAAACTGGGCCACTGTCACGTGCAAATTACTTATTTCCTAATATACTAGTAAACATGGACATTCATTTTCCTCTCAGGTGGAGTACATGGTTAATGCTGTATGGCCTAGATAAATCTCTACATATTGTACCTAACACTGAGGAAGTTGCAAAATAATGCTTTGAGTTTAGAAGTTTAACAGTGGAAGATATTTTTTGTTACTTTTGGCTCAAAATACTCATTGACAAGCAACATTTGCCCTTATCATTCAGAATGATCAAATCACAGAAGGCCCGTACTTTAGTAATACCTTGCATCAATAAAACCATGACCTTAAGTCCAAGTACAGAAAAACCAAGTAAGGCATGAAAGATTTAATTCATTGCCCAACTTTCTAATAAGCATCTTGTTGGTAGTATTGAGGCCATTTTTGGTGTTCCGTAATGAGATTCAGACACTTCCTGATGACTCTGGGAAGCACATTATAGAGTCCAAATTAACCCTCTCTAATGACGTTATGATAGATCTCTATATATGTAAATGTATGCATCATTTAGCTGATAGATAATGATAGCTTCAAAACCTCTCATTAAGTTGATAAATTATGGATTTTCTTTCTTCCCCTAAATCATAATGGCACTCAGAGTTCTTTGTTTTTAGCTAGATGAACACCTTTATTTGGGGGGAAAAGACTCCATAATTGAGTGAATTTTGGTTGTGTTTCTCCAAAAGAAGGATATTAAACAACAAAGCTATCTGTGCTTGTAGCAGGTCAGGTGGGCTTGATTCTAACCATAGCTTAGCTGCTTGAAAACATATCCATTAGTGTTCCTACCTCTCTCTTTGTGACACTGTCTGCTTTTGCGTGGCACAATGGGAAGACTGAATAGAAAGAAGATGGGGCAAGAAGAGAGGAAGAAATGGCCCAAGGGGAACAAAAGAAATGATTGGGCCAAAATAAATCATTCCTACTCATCACTCCATAAAGTTTTACTAGTGCTATGACTAGGCTTACCAGACATAGCCCCAAAAGAGTGGAACTTTTCCACTGATGGTAAGGGATAAAAGGGATTTTAGTAGGTACTAGAGCACCTACTCATGCCTAGTACTATTTCTTTATAGACAGTAACTCACTCATTTAATCACCTTAAAAAAATCTTTTGAGGTATAATCTAAATTGACCTCAAATGCATTTTTTTATTTTTTAGTTCTAACAAATTGAATTCTACTTTCCAATTCAACTCAAAAAATAGTTTATAGTAATAGTACCCACTATATGCCAGGCTCTGGAAATGTAACAGTGAACAAAGGCCATTAGAATCCCAGAGATTCTAATACACTTTCAGGGTTGAGAAACACTGGTTCAAATTTAAGAGAAAAGAATTTGATTGAAAGGATATTACTACTTCTCTAAAAAATTATCACATTAAGGTTTCAACTTCATATTGCTTTTGCACTGTCATTAAGTCAAAAAAAGTGTTGAATCAAACCATCATTGAGGACCGTCTGTATATCCTACTTGTACTGTTTCAAAACCATTTAACCATGGGTGGTTTGTTTATTTTTTTGGTTTTGGGTTTTTTTAAAGTTCTGCATACTCTCTCCCTTCTCTTTCCCCCAATCTCTCTCATCCCTCTGTTCTTCCTACAAAGGAACTTGGAAAATCATGGGAAGAAGTTCAGTTGGAAGACGATCGGGAGTTGCTGGACCATCAGGAAGAGTAAGACTTGTTATTGCTGCTAGTTAATTGCAGTGTTCCAGGAGTAAGAAGACAATGCTTTAGTTTGGTTTAAATTATGAAGAGGGAACCTAAGAAGAAAAAATACCTTCTCTGAGCCATGCATCCCTTCATGTCATGTGGCAGAAACTTGAATTCAAAATAACTTTCACATAAAAATTCCTAAAGACACTGTTATTCCAACTAAATTAAAGCTATTGATTGAACACACAAGTAATACATAATTCAGAGAAAAATACATTCCAAAATGCTTTGCCTGCTCAGTTGGTGCTCAGACCTTGAAGTGATACAATCTTTGAACTTTCCGTGTTGCTGTCATTGGAATAGAGAATGTAGCTGCATTGAAGTTAATCCTGTTCTGTGTTCCGGCCATTGATAACTAACTTTAAACATTCACAGCTTCTTTGCTTGAAATTATAAGCTTGAGAAATGTTCTTTTCAACCTAAAAGGGTTTCTTATTTTTCATCTTCTTTCCAGTCAAAGCTTTTTGGCCTTTTTTCTCTCTCAGGATTTTAAATTATTATTATTTTAAGAGTGAAGTAAAGCCCAAAGGTAGAGAGCTGCCATTTGCTGAATTTTCTTGATGCATAGAGATTCAGGCAGAGAGTCTTCCAGACTGAAATAAAAACATCTTTCCCATTAAAACACACTAGTTGGAATGTTTAATGGGTGAATGTTAAAGTTTTAATGACACAAAAGGTTATAAATAGTAAGTCATGACCTGGGCCAAGACTTGTGGCTCCCTCCTGGATGGAGAGAGTTAAGGAAAATGTTTCCTGTTTTCTAATCGGGAAGCTTCTGTGCAAATTGGGTTAGGTTGATCTCGAGAGTCTTATTAGTGATCATTTCTGAGCTTGCCATGAGAAATTCTCTCATCTGAGTTTGCATGGGTGTTCCTCATCTCCACAACTCTTCCCTCCTGGCAGTTTTCCTGGTTTGGGAATGATAAGAAGTTGGTAGTATTTCAAAAAGGTAAATGCAAGGAGCAGGAAAAGTGGTAAAAGGGATCTTGTATCCTTTTCGAATTCACTGTCTACCACCAGATATAACACTTGCCCAGTTTTAAATAATCAGTATTTCCCTCGTGAAAGAGACACGGTTTGCCTTTGTAAAATACACTATTTGTCATGCAGAAACACATTCCCAGCATCACACCTCACAGCGTGTGCAGTCAGTGGTTGTGGTTAATGAGAGAGAGCATCACATTTTCTGAAATGTCTCCTTTGCAAATTAAACCTCATTGTCTCAGGATGACATTCCTCTGACTCTAGACTGAGATAGAGACTCAGAAGAATGGCAAATAGGAGAAAATGGAGCAGCACCTGTTCGCTATTTATATTAATTTCATGGTGCTGCTTTGAATTTCAAAAGCTATATCAGAGAGTCATAATATGATGTGACAGTCTTTACCAAAATGTCAGAGTTGAAAGAGATTGGCAGGGTTTCTTAGTAAGGAGAAAGTAATACCAAGTCACTGTGTAGTATACTCTCTTAATGAAGGGAATGTCTGTATTTTCTCTTTTCTTTTTTAATTCAGCGACTGGTCTGATTGGGAAGAACACCCTGCCTCTGCCGTCTGCTTATTTTGTGAAAAGCAAGCAGAAACAATTGAGAAATTGTATGTCCACATGGAGGTAAGATACCTGTATTTATTTGAATTTTGTTTCATTCTGACAGGAGAAAGCTGGTAGTTGTTGCACCCTCATCTGCTTATACTTTAGTTTCTCAATCATTATTCCAAACACAAGAGACAGGCCAGGTCTCTCGGGGAGAACCAGAGCTCAGCGCAATTTAGTTAGTACAGTTGACTGGACCTGAGTGAGCTGTTTGTTAGTGTGAGATTTCTCAGACCACTGATGCCATCTTACCTTTGAGATGCTTACAAGATCATTCTGGCTCAGCAGGTGGGACAGGTCCTGAGTCTTTTTTACAGCGCTGCTTGTGCTGGTGAATAGGAGAGCAAGAAGGGAGAACATTGTCATTTACAAAGCCCCCGGAGGAATGGGAAAAAGGAGGGTGGGTAGAGAGGGTCTAGGGCATGATCCTACACTTCCTTCAGGTGCCAGCATTTGGAGAGAATAAATGAGGGAGCATTCCTAGTGTGGGCTTTCCCTTCTAGATGCCATTTTTATGTTATAGTGAAGCTTGGAGCTAGCAGTTCTAAACGTTTTTCACCCCCGTATACCTGGAGAGGACACACACCCTACACTCTGATCCTTAGCTGCACAAGGCGGATAGGGAAGAGGAACATCTAATGATTCATGACAGTATCACAGCTTGTGGGCAAAGGGGTGATTATAATAGGAAAATATTACTGGATGATTCTGGTATCTCTCCCTCCCCTCCCTGCAGCCACCTCTGCCAATAGTGGACCATATTCTCTGCTTTCACCCACTTTCACCTCACCCTTATTCAGAAATACTGTTCACCAAAACTTACTTCTCACATCTTAGTTTAGTAAAATAAGGACCTAGAAAGCACTCAAAAGACCATAACCTTTTACCCTGATTTTAGTTTCTCTGATAAAGGTTCCCACTAGTATGTGTGTATAATTTCCTGTGTTTAGATTTAATTCATAATATCTTAATGTCTTTGTATTGAAGGCAGCCTTCGTATGCCTATCCTGTGTAGGGATTACCTTTTCGGCATCCTTGACAGGTGTCCTTAACCTCTGCTGGGTCACTCTCAGTGATGACATCACCAGTTCCTAATCATCCTGCATATGGTGCTACACTAAATGCCATCCCAAAGAGTTAAATGGTCTTTATCCTCTGTGAGATTGTAGGTTAAAACATTTACACAGACAATTGCAGGTGTCAAACAAGCAAATAATAAGTCTGCATTGTAAAAATAAAAAGAAAGTGTGATTTATAGGAAGGCGTGAGTGAAGAGAAACTTTCAGGTTTAAACAGTGTATTTGACAGCGTAAAATGAAAAGCAGAATTTGTAAAAATTACCTACGTGGGGCAAAGAGCCTATATCCATAATTCTAGTCCAAATGCACAGTACAATAGAAATGTATCTTACTTACACTTTTATCACACTGCAGAATTCATACATAGACTTCTACATTTTTAGAAGGCCACAAAACGGATACATTGTAAATTATAAAAACTATAGATATAAGCTATGAGCAATTATAATGTTGTTATTGTTGTTTGAGATGGAGTCTTGCTGTGTCACCCAGGCTGGTGTGCATTGTCGTGATCTCAGTTTACTGCAACCTCTGCCTGCTAGGTTCGAGCAATTCTCGTGCCTCAGCCTCCTGAGTAGCTGGAATTACAGGCACCCACCACCACGCCCAGCCAATTTTTGTATTTTTGGTAGAGACAGGGTTTTGCCATGTTGGCCAGGCTGGTCTCAAACTCCTGACCTCAGGTGATCCTCCCGCCTCAGTCTCCCACACTGCTGGGATTATAGGTGTGAGCCACCATGCCCAGCCCAATTACAATGGTTTAACTGATTGACATGACTTGTTTGGACTATGCTGTAAAAACAAGTTGGGTATGGAGGGAAGTAGTTAGACTTAGAAGACTTTAAAAGCAGAAGACACCAAACTCAGACTGAGTTTCTAAACTCCTGTGAATAAGTTGTTTATAACTTCAGCCTGAAAGATTAAATAATTCATTAGCTTACAGATGTATTCATTGCTTTTTTTAGGATGCACACGAATTTGATCTTCTCAAGATAAAGTCAGAACTTGGTAAGTTTGATTCAGAAGTTTTTTTCTGTGATGCTTCATTTTTTATAAACCATCCTGTAAACTATGCCTATGTTCAGTAGCTACGATTGGAGAGCGCACCACCAAAACATGTCTCTCTATATATGGTCTTGACAGAACTCTCTGTGAAGCAGTGATGCTCAACCATAACAGTCAAATATGGTTTTTGGGTTCATATACTCCTTCTTCCTCTTTCCTACAATACGACTGCTTCAAATGGAATATAAATTAGTGGTTAATAATATATCATAAATTGGAGGGGGCTAGTAGAATATGGATTTTTAAGTCAAACTAGAGTTCAGATTCCAGCTCTGGCATTTACTGGCTATCTGACATTGGGCCTCGGGTCAGAAAAGTGTTATGAGGAGTGAGTAATGTATGGTAAATGCCTACTGCACTGCTTAGCAGTACAGCTAGGATTGTTTGTTGTAGGTGTACCCAAATGTATCATTCTCAGTATCACAACAATAGAAGGATTTGGGGCATTATGACATAAATAAAGTACTGACTTGCTAATAGATCTAAGACAGTAAAAAACTTACTTCTCACATCTCAGCTCCGTCACTGTTTTCCTGGGTCCTTGGATGTGTTACTTTGCTGCTCTTATAGACGTGTATATATATTGTATATATAATTAGCTTAGTAGTCAAGCACATGGGCTTTGCAGCTGACAGCTATCTATGTGACCCTGGGCAGTTTCCTAATATGTAATGTAGGTATGATACTACCTATCTGATAGGGTTTTATGAAGATTAAATGTACTAATACACGGAAAAGTATTAGAATAGTGCCTAGCTCATAAGCCCTATGTAAATATGGGCTGTTATTATTTGGTATCTATTATGCTTTATAATTGTACTACTTCTTCAGGTTGATTAATAAAAATAAGTGGCTCCTTTAAGAAATTATAACAGTGCAAAAAATGGGTCTGAACAGTTGTCTAATGATTCTGTATTGTCATTTTCAGGATTAAATTTCTATCAGCAAGTGAAACTGGTCAATTTTATTCGGAGGCAAGTTCACCAATGTAGATGTTATGGCTGCCATGTGAAGTTCAAATCCAAAGCAGACTTAAGAACTCACATGGAAGAAACTAAACACACTTCGCTGCTCCCTGATAGAAAGACGTGGGATCAACTGGAGTACGTACTGCAAAACCACATGTGCACTTCTTTACTCCCTTTGATTTTCTCCCTTTATTTAATTTATTTAAACTTACAGAAAAAAAGGAATACATGTTTATTATAAAAAGTATACATCAGTATAGTGTAGGGAAAATGTAAAAATCTTCAAAATGCTTATTTTTAAAATAATCCCCCTCTTACAAATGAAACCAAGTATTTTTCAGTATTTGTGATATGGAGATAGATACATACGTAGAGAGATGAAGTAGATACAGATTTTTTAAAGTATATTTTATTAACAAAATATTGTAAATATCTTTCTATAGCCAGTATCTATCTGTTGCATCCTTTCTAATGGTTGCCAAATATCCATTGTATGGATATAATCTGTTCTGTTAGATACTTAGGTTGTTTCTTACTTTTTTCTATTATGATACAGTAAATATCTATATGCCTACATTTTAGCCACTTATCTAATTATTGAATTAAGCTGAACTACTAGAAATGAAATTACTGTGTCAGAGTTTGTACACTGCTAGGACTTTTGGTATATATTTTGTATATTGGCACTTGAAGAAATTAAGCACTTGGTCATCTGTTGTTGGATTCCCAAGTATTCTTTGCCAGAACCTTCTGGACTGGTTCCCAAGTATCCTTTGCCAAGAACCTTCTGGACTGGTTCTCACGTCATTCTGGATAACCTCAGTCAAGGGCTCCTCTGAGAGGCTGTGGGGTTCTAGCTGCCCGGAGCTCCTTCTGTTCTTAGGGAATAAATCAGTTCCCCCAGAACTTTAACCAGAAAGTTCTAGTTTTTCTCCTTCAGAAAATCCCACACTTGTGAGGGTATCCTGTTCTTATAATCCTTCTTATATAAATTAAAATTTGTAGTATTCCAAAAGTAACTTCAAAGTGTATTCAGAGAAGAAACCAGAATAACAAACTTTATATTCCGTAAGTGTTTCCTTTTGTGATTACCTAGAAAGAAGGAACGATTAGGCTGGAAAACAAAACACAAGGGAGAGCTTATTATTCTCAAGTATTTGAAGAATTTGTGTTTGAAAAATAACTATATTTGAAGTTTGTTAACTTATAAGGAAGAACTAGGACCTTTGAGTAGAAATAAGAGAGATGTCATTTTTAGCTTCATAGGAGGTGCATCAAACAACTAGAGCTACCCACTACTAGGGTCAGCTGCCTTTGAAGATCGTGTGTTTCTTACCATGATAGATGATCAAGCAGAGGCTAAGTGGCCAGCGGGCATCTCCAGAGGCAACTCTGGAGGCTGGGAGGTCCACGATCTTGGTTTACCAAATCTAGATAGTAGATTTGGTAAGGTTGATGTCAGCCAGTAAAAGTCAAAGTGAAAGCAATCAGAATTTGTCTCCAATATAGCCTTTGCAAAATGCTATGAAATTGTTGGCAAGGATACCTGGCAAAATTATAGTAAATGTGTACATTCAGCCACCTGAACAATGTATTAGTTTGGTAATTTAATACTATGTATCTGTGGTTGTTTTCAGGTATTATTTTCCAACCTATGAAAATGACACTCTCCTGTGTACACTATCTGACAGTGAAAGTGACCTGACAGCTCAGGAACAAAATGAAAATGTTCCCATCATCAGTGAAGATACATCTAAACTGTATGCCTTGAAACAAAGCAGTATTTTGAACCAGTTGCTACTACAAGAGTGCTTGAAAAACTAGAAGAAACTACCACAGAAGCAATATTTCATGTTTTTCTTCTATGAGACAGACATGAAAGAATAATTTAAATTTGAACATCAGCAAAGGATTAGTCCTTGGTGAAATAAACTTTTCAAAAACTAATATTCTTTTCAAAAAATAAAGTAGGAAAATGCACTTATTAAGAACATGAAAAAAATGAAGTAGGAAAATAAGATGAAGACTTTGTATTTTGGCTATCAAGTCTTATTGTGTGATCATCTTAAATGAGCTCATTTCATTAAACTCATAATTATCTACAGAAGGATATGCCAATTACAAAGAAATGAAAAGTTTGTATTATTTATAAACCTGATTTTTCTATCAGTAGTTTCAGTCTCCTCCCCAAGGACCTTCTTCATCCAACAAGTTACAAAATTTGAATGTCCTTTCTGTACTGTGTTGGGTGACCTGTAAATGTAATGACCAAAAGAAAAGCCACAGAAGAAAGAAGAAATGGTCAAAGACCTGGATAGTATGCTAATTGGCCATTATATTAGAACAATCAAGAGCTGACTGTATTATCATTACCGCTTTCTGCCTAGGGTGGCCAAATTCTCTAGAAATAGACATCAAGCCAGTTAACTTCACTTTTCCCTGCAATGTGTCCATCGCTAACATTTAAATACTATTTTTTAAAGACATAACCACAATACCATTATGACACCTAAAAAAAATTAACCTTAATATCATGTGTTTTCAGTTTTTCCCACTTGTCTCAAAATATGTGTTTACAATATTATCAGTTTCATTACTGATAAATATTGTGTGCCTCCTGATAAGATGCACTGAGGAGGGCAGAATATCACTTGTGTAGATTTATACCAAAAATGCATAACTTGGATATAATGAAGAAACAGTCAAATCCAAGTTTGAGTGGTATGGTAGCTCATATCTGTAATCCCAGCACTTTGGGAGGCCAACGCGGAGGATCACCTGAGGTCAGGAGTTCAAGATCAGCCTGGCCAACATGGCGAAACCCCATCTCTACCAAAAATACACAGATTAGCCAGGCATGGTGGCATGCACCTATAGTCCCAGCTACTCAAGAGGCTGAAGCACAAGAATCGCTTGTATCCAGGAGGCAAAAGTTGCAGTGAGCCGAGATTGCACCACTGCAGTTCAGCCTGGGCAACAGACCGAGACTCTGTCTCAAAAAAAGGGAAAAAAAAAAAAAAAGAAAGAAAGAAAATCCAAGTTTGAAGTACATTCTACAAAATAATTGGCCTTTACTCTTAAAAATCTTAAGATCATAAAAAACAAAGATTGAAAAACTATTTGAGATTAAAGGTGACTAAAGATAGCATAGCATGATCCTGGATTGGATGCTAGACCAAGACAAAAAACGTTTTTCTTTTCCTACGAAAGACATTAGCAGGACAGTTGGCAAAATTTGAATAAGATTTGTAGTAAATGTTACGGTATTGTTGTTAATTTCCAGATTTTGATAACTGTACTGTGGGATGAGAATGTCTTTGTTTTCAGGAAATATTAATACACACTGAAGTATTTAGGGGTAAAGGAGCATTTTGTTTGCAACTTATTCCCAAAAAACTAACATGGGTATATAGAGAATAATGAAGTGAACATGGCAAGATGTTAACATTTAGGGAATCTAGGTAAAAGTGTGTGGAGATTCTTTGTACTATGGCAACTTTTCTGAAAGTCTGAAATTATTTCAAAATTAAAAGTTTTTAAAAATGTCTTTTTTCAGCCAGGCATGGTGGCTCACGCCTGTAATCCCAGCACTTTGGGAGGCTGAGGTGGGCGGACCACGAGATCAGGAGTTTGAGGCCAACATGGTGACACCCCGTCTCTATTAAAAATACAAAAAGTAGATGGGTGTGGTGGCGGGCATCTGTAATCCCAGCTACTCGGGAGGCTGAGGCAGGAGAATTGCTTGAACCTGGGACATGGAGGTTGCAGTGAGTTGAGATTGCGCCACTGCACTCCAGCCTGGGTGACAGAGCAAGACTCCATCTCTATAAAAAAAAAGAGACATATATAGGCTTTTTTCAGTTGGTTTGTTTAATCAGGTTCCAAGTGAGATCCATGCACTGCATTTGGTTGGTATGGTTCTTAAGGGTCTTTTAATATATAACGATTCACAATTTTTTTTAAAAAATGCCACTTATTTGTTAAAGCAATTGGATTATTTGTCTTGCTTTCTGGATTTGGATGATTGTATCTTCTGTATATTATTTAGCATGTTGCATTATCATCCATTGTCTCTGTCCATTTCGGCTACTATAACAGAATACCTGAGACTGGGTAATTTATAAACAATTAGATTTTCTTTCTCACAGTTCTGGAGGCTGGGAGGTCCATGATCTTAGTTTAGTGTCCAATTCGAGAGCCCAGTCTCTACTTCCAAGATGGCACCTTGAATACTGCATCCTCCAGAGGGGACAAAGGCTGTGTCCTCATAGGACGAAAGGATGGAAGGACAAAAGGGCCTAGCTAGTTCCCTCCAGCCCTTTTGTAAGGTCATTAATCCCAGTGATGAGGCCTCTGCCCTCATGGCCTGATCACCCTTCTGAAGGCCCCACTTCTTAACACTGTTGCAGCAGGAAGTAAGTTTCAACAGGAATTTTGGAGGGAACATCAAAACGTTGAAATTATAGCAAACCCTTTTGTAAGGTCATTAATCCCATCCGTGAGGGCTGCCCTCATGGCCTAATCACCCTCCTAAAGGCCTTTCTGACCTTTCGTTACAGAGGGCTTTTATTTTTATGTTATTTTATTTTCGAGATGGAGTCTCGCTCTGTCTCCCAGGCTGGAGTGCAATGGCACAGTCTCGGCTCACTGCAACCTCCGCCTCCCGGGCTCAAGCAATTCTCCCGCCTCAGCCTTCTGAGTAGCTGGGACTGCAGGCACCCGCCACCAAGCCCGGCTAATTTTTGTATTTTTAGTAGAGATGGGGTTTCACCATGTTGGCCAGGCTGGTCTCAAACTCCTGACCTCAAGTGAGCCACCACACCCAGTCCTACACTGTGTTCTTTATGCAGCACATGTGCTACGGAATGCTAGAGTCTGAGGCTCTGGTTTTCAATTATTAATGCTAGTCTGTGTAGGTAATGCCCCAAAACTAATCTTGGAGTCATATTGCCTGTCCAGAGACTCAAGAGCCAGCCTCCTCCCACCATGTGGTCCTAACTCAACTGTGTTTGTTAATTACATAGACTCTGACCACACCTCTAGATTTCTACCCCTCCCTCTCTGCAGATACCATGGAAGGCTTTCATTGAAAACTAAGCAAACAAAGATATAGGAGCCTGTACTATAATGAAAAATGCCTAAGTTAAAGATTCAATTAAGTTAAATGTTTTAAAACCAAAGATTAAAGAGGCAATTAGTCTAAGCAATTAGACTGTGCCTACCACAGTCTGTCTCTAGGAATCAGGTCTTGTTCAGGACATCAAGGAATGTCTGAAGAGGTTTTTAGAGCATGCTTCAGTGTTAGGACAGGAGCAATGGAAGAATGAGAACACAATAAACTAAGAGTAATTAAACTTGGGAAGGAGAAAGCTTTTTTGGAGAAAAAGTTGATAGAGAACAAGTCAAATAGATATAAAAGGAAAAATGAAATTGAAGAACAGACCAACACATAAAAAGGAAAAGATGTTGTACTTAGGGTTTAATTCATATTGGCAGTTGTTTTTTTAAGTGGCTAAACATTTTCAGGTTTATTTGGGGACAGAAATGGCAACTGGGACCCAAAGAAATCTAACAAGAATAGAAGCAAAATCTCAGCAAACTGTACTGACTCCTAGATGGAGCAAGAATATAGGCCACTGTTGGCGAAGGACTCTTTATGTAGCTCTAAGATAGAGACTCCTTGATAAAAACCACTGGGAACTGCTCTTTAAAGACTGGGACAGTGATACCAAGTGTACCGGGAAAGTCAGGACAGTTTGAGAGGAAGTATCAGATGAAAGCAAAACGTTCAAGGAATTACTGGATGAATTTCCAGATGTTACTGTAATTAGGAATACAAGAGCTTCTTGTGCCCCAAAGGAAACATGCCTGAGAAATTTTTAGAATTAAGACAGAATTAAGGCAACAAGATGAAAGATAACAGAAGAGAGCCAGGCAGGACAGTGATAAATGGAATCCAAACTCAGATTAGCTGTTAATCCAATCAGAAAATGCATGCCAGTTAAGATTATCTAACTCAGAAAGGTGAGGGCGGCCAAGATTTTTTGGACAATAGTTGCTTTTGGCAGACCAAAACCTACTGACTTATCTATCACAACTGAAGTCCACATTAGATAAATCTAGAACCAAATGTTACATAAGCACATGTCTGGCCCAGAAAAAACAGAAAGTTAAAAAAAAAAAAAAAATCAGAAACTACAACATTAGACCTATTTGCATTAGGGAAGGAAAGGGATCAACGTAAAAAGTAAGTTATACTGTAACAAATTCAACTATTTCTCCCTAAAAGGCCTAGAGAGAAACCAAGCACTAGGACACATCCACTACTGCCAAAAAAGCAGAAGTACTGCTGGAACCTGGACAGAGTGAAAGCAAGGGATGGCTGTAGGCTGAGGGCTCAGCAGAGGTCTGTCCTCACCAGGTCCCAGTGCAACTAGTCTAGTCCAGTTGCCCACAATATCCATCCTCCTTTTCTTCAATAAAATAAAGTGTGGTTGGGTATAAAGCTACCTAAAATGAAAATTACATTTCCAGGTTCAGTTATCCTGAATTGCACTTCTTTTGCAGCTCAGGGTACTCATGTCTAAATTGCAGCTAACACGATATAAGCAGGAGGTCTCATATGACAGCTTCCAGGAGTCTTCCTTAAGATACTGGCCATAAGCACCCTCTGCTTTGCTTTTCATGCCTTCCTACCTCCTGTAGCCTAGGATATAGATATCTGCATATGGGACAGTGAGGTCGAAGTCATGCATGGTGAGACATCAATGTCAAAAGAATCTGGATCCCTGACACTGTGGAGGACTCTACAGCCCTGGAATGCTGAAATACACATTTATATGAAGGAAATAAAGTTCTACCTTCCCACAGTTATTTAAGGTTTTCTATCATTCATAGCCGAGCCTTATTCCAACCAGTATGCCTAGGGATTCAAGCTGCAGAAACATCAAGAGCAGTTTTAGTTCAGGAATAGGCTGAGGATGTTTTCCAGCTGAAACAAGTGAAGGAATGAAGGGAAAACTGTTCTTAGAAGCCAGCCTTCACAAGCCGAGGCAGTTCCAAAGCCCAAGGCAACAACAGGAGCCACTGTGGCAAAGAACTGGGAAGTGAGCACACAGGAGAGTGTGGAAACCATGCCATCATTATCTAGAGCACAAACTCCCTGGGTCAGG